AACAGAGGGTGATCTGCAGTTGACTGCACACTGGTCCTCTACCCCGGCATTCTCCTCCTGCATTCCTATTTTTTTACTTGATTTTGCCACAATTTCTTTTCCTCTGAAACATCTAGTCCTCTGAAGAGACGGAAAGAAATGAAACCAACTTAAAACAGAGAAATGCTGAGCAAGTGAGGGCTCAGGTTCCTGTTGAAATACAGTGATGGATCTAGACTAAACCACCAGCTGTGCCTGATGGTGATTAAAGGCAGGTGGAAGGACCTGTCTTGCTTGCAGTGCAAACAGGAGTCCTTGTAGGTCTTGAACTAGGGAATCATTTGTCACAAGTGTGTGAAAGCAAAGAAAGTTGTTACTGAGCTTGTTATCTATATGTTACGTCTTGGGTGAGCCCTACAGAAAGCTGTCATGTTATAGAAAACAGCCTGACAAACTGCATATGTTGCTCATGTCTTGTGGAACTTGACATCCTCACCATCCTGGTGGCTCTGGGAAGAATCCAGGTTCTTTGTCCCCTAGCAGGCTGCCCAGGAGCAGAAGGGAAATAACCTCTAAGAATATGAACCATCCTGACCTTGAAAGGATTTACTGCGGTGTGAGCGAGGTCTCGGTGCACGGGAGATCACTGCTAGGCACCCACAGCGCGAAAGGGCCGCGCGAAGAGACAGCAGAGGATATCTGAGCCGTGTAGCCAAACTGCCCCAAGGACATGAGGAGCTGGGAAGGGTGACATGGTTGGTTGGATGAGCAGGAGTTGCTGTGACTTGAGTCTCCAGGTCTAGGAGAGTCTTTGTCTGGAGAGGCTGTGCACAGTTTCCTAAACTTACGCTTAGAAAACAAATTGAATTTCTGGGCTTTTTTAATGGTTTACTGGTAATCTTTTATCTCTAAGCCTGTAACGGGAAGCCTGACCTTGAGCCTTGCAGAATAAAAGCTGTTTATGGTGAAGGCTGCCGGGTGCTCCAGGGCCGGGGAGCAGAGCACTGGGCTGAGCGCTCCAGGATGCAGGAAAGCACCTGCTGTCCTGGCCCACACGGGCACCTTATGGTGCCGGCAGGGCCTCCAGCACCTGCACTAAGGGCTGCAGCCCCCTAAAAGCACCTGGGATGACCCCAGCTGGGGTTGCACCTTGCAGCAGCCCTGCACAAAGGAGCCAGCCAGGGTCTCGCTGGGTTTTTTTCCTCTTTATTAGGCAGCAGTGCGAGCCAGGCGGTGCTCGGCGCCGGCAGCGCGTGCCTCGCGTGCGGAGGGGTCACCCTGGGCTCGACGGCCCCTTGGGACCCTGCATGGGGCCGGCTCCTGAGCGCTGGCTCCTGCCACACGCTGAGCGGGGCCCTTCTGCCCCAACGGGCCGCTCGGGCGCTGGGTGGTTCCGTTGGTCGGTCTGTGCTTGTGTGTGTCCACCAGGCTGGAGGCGCCTCCGTCCCCAAAGTCCTCGGGGCGTTCGGTGCCATTCAGTGTTTCCCGGTCATGAGCTTTACCACGATGCCAAGCGCAAGCACCGTGATAGCAGCAGCCGCCGCCAGCCCCCGGCGGAGGAGCACCTTTTTCATGGGAATGACGGTGCCTGGAGCCGGTGAGGCAGCCGTTGCTTCCTGGGGCTCCGGTTGGTCCGTTCGTCCCTCGAGCCTGGTGACGCCCATGAGCACGACACCGTTCTGGGCATCCATTCCCGCTGCAACAAGAACAAGGCAGGATCACCAAGGCCTTTGGGGTAGGTGGAGGGTTTTCTCCTAGGCCTGAAAGCACTTTGTGGACCATGCTGAGAGCAGCACTGGAGTCTTGCAGGGATCTCCAGCCCTTGGCGTGCAGAATTTAGCCCGTGTTTAGGGGTCCAAGTGTTTTCAAGATGAAAACTCCCCAGGTTGTCCCTCCCCAGGTAACCCCGGCCGCACAGTACCTATACAGCCCTGCACCGCCGCCACGGGGCCGTGCATGTCGAGCGGCAGGGGTGGGCCCGGGGCGCCGGGGA